ACAAAAACAATGAATTGGTTTATATTCAAACAAACATGGAACTTCATGGAATTTTATTCAATTAGTTTCACAACATGGCAATGTTATATGGCTATCAACTCTACAGTAATGTATTGTTTGCGGTCGGTTGGGGGGGGGGGGGTTAGACAGTGAACGACCTCATTAACTGCGGTGCCATATGGCATGTTTGTACAATACTATCCGTACTATCGTCTAAAGTTACAGTAACATGAACTATGCGCCAAATGATGCGCAGTAAATTGAACTCAGCGTATCGGTTATCGGAATGTTGTCATAACCCGACACACCAAATCTATTTTAAAATTAACATCGTTTAGATTTAATTTACGCATTAAGTTTACTCAATTGATATACGTTCTTGTCAAGTCGGACGAAGTATTCGTAAAACATCCTTGGATGTACAAGTTGTATATCGAGTATTGCGTTAATTGTCTGCTAGTGGCAACGAAGTTTTCAGGTAGGACATCATTTAACAAATAGTATTCTGAACACACTCCGGTAAAACAGGGTTGAAATGCACTGATTGCTATCAATTACGTCACATTGCTATATGTACACCGATACCAGACGAAATATTCACACAACTCTAACCACTGGCAGTCTGGAGTCAAACAGATTTCATACAATTTGAAAAATTAATAATTGGGCATACGATAATTCTTTTAGGATGTTCGCAGATTTCATAACATTGGAAAATTGTTAGATATGTGTGTGAAATACCATCTAATAGTGCAATGTAATACAAAGTCTGACTACATAATAAGCAGCCGCTGCTGACAGACTACAATATTAAAAAATGGCGAATTTCGCTATCGAAAAGTTTTCAGATTAGTAATATTATTGAATACACAACTTAGTGTAGTGTATCATACGTTTGTTGGAAGTAAAATTCTTCGTGTATCCTCGTAACTTTATTTTTTTCAGCCACTCTTGTGAGAAAATCCCATCCCAGGGAAATTTGGTATGTAATTGATAGCTGATTGGCTTAGGCATTTGGTTGTAGCCGTATTTCAATGTCCAAGGCAATCTTGCATTCTAAATCGAATGTCGTATTAAGTGCTTACTGGTTTGATACCTCACAATAAATCAAATAAATGAGGTTTTTATTGCTTCTACTAAGGGACGACTCTTTTTCACGACTGGGGTTGGCCGGTAAAGTCCGCGGGGGGGGGGGGGTATCCTTAATTGAAGTCCAAATGTGTTCCCATTTACATACATTCCCTGGGATGGGGAGTCTGTATTTTCTTAGCATGTCATTGGTTTTTAATTTCCATTTTTCTTAAACATTGACTATTTGTTTAACGATTTAATAATAATTTGCGTACCTGGTACAAATTAATTAAGTATAATCTGTAATATAGATTTTTGTACCACACTTGAAATCAGATTATGTTGTAGTAATTAACACATAGCTTGAGGGAAACAATCTTCGCAATCTACTGCAAGAACAAACATTGTTGCCATAGCGACGGAAATATGGCACTTTAACTTCATGATGTTTAAACAGATTCACATGGTCATATAAGGTAATCTAATATTTTTATATTAGTTTAGACTTTAGACTTACGGATTACATAGCAAGTAGAGCTGTCGTTAAGGGTGGGGAAACAATTATATGTATGTCTAGAAAATATATTGCCTCCAAGTGTAATTGCGGTCGAGGTTTCTATCAAGTTTAAGGAACTCACCAATCTTAGATTAGCTTCACAAGTTGGTAGGCGCGAGGTACATACGGGAATCATTGCCAGGCGGTAAAAGCGTGTACAATGAAGAGGCAAAGTATTTCTGTATGCAACACATTATTTTATTTTTAATTTACAGAACGCCCTATCCATAAATTATTATCTATACACTAACTATACAAGACCAGGATGATGACGTAAGCATTGTGATGAGACTAAACTGGCAGTCCTTTTAACTGCAGCTTCTCTTGTCACCAATCGGCTGACGTTACTCTCGGCTCCGATGCTACTTCTTACTCGATACAGTTGTTACAATTTAGTTATCTATTCATTTAGTCATGGGTCGGTCATAGTTCAAACTCGTTGGTAGTAATTGAGCTATTGAGCAGGTAATAACGATTGTCTCTACTTAGAAGGTAACAAAATACAATGAATATTCGTGAAATTGTTCTCAGTGGGGAAAGTACGCACATGAAAGGGAGGGGGCTGACGTAGTACTAAAACGAGATCACGTTCTTAATATAAGGACATGTAATTGTTCATGTTCAAACAAATTGCATTACCCCCTCACTATTTGTTCACCCCACGGTTGAAAAGATGACCAGTCTCTAAGT